TCATTCCGGGCCTGAAAATGCAAATAAAGAGTGGGCTTTCTCTCAAAAACCTTTTTTGGGGATGTTTGCTTCCAAAAAGCCAAAAGAGAACAGAGTTTGCGAAGTTTTCTGGGGCCTGATGACGAGTGGGTTTGAGAATCCCGTGCTACGGGAGTTGCGGCCAGGACATACGAGCTCGTGGTGGCCACGCCAGTCTTGCCACAAAGCTGGTGCGTGCGTATTGGCAGTTTTGCGGGTGCGAGGCAGACCCTGCTTTTCTGGTATTGTTTCTTGGAACGCTTGTCTTATCTTACTGGTGTAGTGGAGTTGCTTTCTGCCCACTCAAACACTATAGCGTTAAACTGGCTCTATGGCCTGTTCTCTGGAGTCGAGATTCTGGAGAAAGCCCTTAGTTTCTTTTGCGCAATCAGTACCGATTCTTCCTTGCGCGGGTCCACTTTCTATGATTTCCAGAGGCTTCTAGCAGCTCTACATGTTGATACGCAGGATCTCTTGGGGATCGTTGCAAGCAACCTTGGATCCATGCATGCCCGCCAATAAAATCTAAATGATGGAATGGACCAATCTAAATACCGGTATCTAGATATCAGAAGCATCACTCATGGATCCAAGATCTCTCCCAAAAGTTCCCGCGAATCTTGGATCTCGGATCTCGGATCCCCCGAAGAGCAACAAAAATATTGAGGGGCCTCGGCGAAGGACCGTATATCTACTTATATTTATACATACACATAGGTACTACATATACATGTGTATGTATATATATATATGGTAGGACCCCCCCCAATACCAAGGTCTTCCTGCTTTAAAATATACATGTTGCATGTTTTTTTGAATAGAAAGGTTGAGGAAAACCTGGAGTTGAGTTGGGGTCCTGCTAAAGATCAGAACACATGTCTTACTACAAGTGCTTGATCATCGTTATGTGTCATTGGATGAGTATAGGTCACATAACTGACCGATTTATAATTCAGTGTTGGAGTTTATAAACGTCCAGGTCTGGTTTATAAACTCTTGATCGTTGGATTGGGGGGGGGGGGAAGGGGGGGGGTTCCGTGGCAACGCAACTCTTGAGGTGGGGGGGAAGGGGGGGGGTCCGCGGCAACTCTTGATGCTGGAACCCGCCCTTGAGTTGCCGAACCCTCCCCCCCCGCCCTCCCCTTCAAGAGTTGCCAGGGACCCCCCCCTCCCCCTCATCCAACTGCCAGGAGCCCAAGAGTTTAGAGTTTATAAACCAGACTTGGAAGTTTATAAACTAAATTTGCGGGGAATGCTGAGCCTACACAAATTGGATTCTGAGACCATTTCAATGCACAATTTCAATCTGTTTGATGAACAACTACTGGTTCGGGCAAATTCAAACCTATCCCATTCCCGCGCTAATAACCACAATGGCCTGGTATCTCGAGGGATCCAAGCGGATCCTGAGCAGATCAATCTAGAATCAGGAGATTTGAACCTCCGAAATATCAAATGTGAATTCCTTTGCAAATAAGATGTTACTTCAAATTGAATTGACATTTTGAATGGAATTTCGTAAGGCCATAGTTCATGTGAAAATCTATATTCCGTTAGAATTTACCCCTTTCCAAATCGGAGTTAAAGGCAATTATTCAATTGGCCTCTGAACATCATTTCAAATAGGAGCTCATTCCCAAATGTATTTAGATTACATATGGCTTAAACAATAGTGGTATTTGTTTTCATGACGAAACCAGTCCAACCAGAACTTAGGTTTAAAATAGAGTTTGAAAATGAGCTCCCTGTTGTTTTTGGGCCTGTACAAGTTTCAGAGCTTTCATCTTCTTCAGGTTCCGTTTTTTGGGCTGAGAAGGGGCGTAGGCCAAGGTTCAAACCCCAGTAAAATGTGACGAAGCCAGAAATGCTGGTTTGGTTCACACAACCATGAAGGCAGGATTTCACCAAACGTGCTCAAATGAGGTTGGGTCAACATACTTGGTATAGCAACCATTTGAGGATCAATTGGACATGGATTTGGGGGTGTTGCTTGGTGTGCAATGTATGGCCAAATGATTGGTACGGTCATCAGCCCCCCTACCGATGGCCTCAGGTTCCTGACTGGCATTTTATGGGGCTCAAGCTGCAAAAAACAGATTGTGTTGCTTTACTACGTGTGCTCGAAACCAGTGTAAACATCAAAGTTTCCAATCAAAACCATGCTTGAAGCCGAACACATAAGCCGTCTTGGGCTTATTGCCTTTTTCAATCCTCAAAAGACGAAACACCTGCTACCGTAAAGAAGGTGACAAATCATCAACAACACCTTATGTTGCAGCGCTTTCAGTCATGACGCTTTCCAACTAGCGGCCATCCACCCCCACCTACCTTTCTACACACCAACTACGCAAAACCTCTGATTTTAGAGGCAGAAGTGAGAATCGCAGGGACACAGCTTTGTGTCCCAACAGGAATGGTTGTGCTGTTCTGCAACGCTGGTGCAAGAGTTCGGAATACGAATCGCAGCAAAGCATAGGCTGGGTTGGAGCACGTGACTTGAGCCAAACGTGGCCACCAATTGTATATGTTACAAACATACATGCCGCTGTGGTACTATTCACAAAACAACAGCAATGAGTTCATAAACTGTCCAATTGGTTGCTGGAAGTCACCTCTGCGTCTGCCCTGCAATGCAAAGCATCCATCATTTGCCCCACAAGTCAAATAAAACAAAAAACCTTGGTATTGGGAGGGGGTCTTAGCATATATATATATATGTATATATGTATATGTATATGAAATTTTGTGAACACATGCGCATAAACAAAACAACCGTCAGCGACTCCTCGTCTTCAGCCTTTAGCCAGCTCCCCAGTTTGCTTGGGTGGTGAAAATTACGGATTCGCTGACTCAAACTCTCAAGGAGCAATTATTTGAGGAATGAAACTGAGTGCAAATCGGATGCTATTCTCTCAGCGCTTTACCATGAGTACTTGACTGTCTCGCTCTTGTCTAGTGACTTCCTTTACGTAATGTTGACGAACCTTGCGGATTGATAAGGGGTTCTTCTAAGTACTAAGTCCAGGATCACATTTATCTTAAACGGGACACCCCACCAAAAAAAGACAATTAGCAGGGGCTTCTCTATCTGGAGGGTCCAAGTACCCTCCTGAGGATGGTCTTTGAGAGGAAAGAAGGGGTCAAAGGTCTAAGCACCTCCTTAGAAGGTACTTGGACAATCTAAAAAAAAACATGGTTGCCTTAATTGGTAAGCTTGCCCCTCTTGATTTGAGCAGCTGGCTCATTCACACGTGTCAAAAACCGGGGTGCCAAGAAAGTGTCGACGGGCCAGGGCTTCACACAGAAAGCCGCGCGACAGGAAATCGAAGGCAGCGCGGCCATTCGGAAGCTCGTAGAGGCCCCGGCCTGCGTGGGTGTCCTCAGCAAGTGGGCTGCTGGGCAGCCTTTTCCGCTTTGCTCTAGGGTCAAACCACCCAGCTGGGGGGGGGGGGGGGGGGGTAAAAGGTGATTGATATACTCCTTGTATGTAATTCACCATTGGGAACAAGAGGAGAACGGGGTATATGCCCTTAAGTGGCTATATAGTGGTATATCCCAACGGGCAGAAACTGACTGGGAAAACCTGTGACCTCTTATGGCTTAAAGTTGGCGACAAGAGTTTGCAGAGCGAAGCCAAGGACCAACATGGGTAAAAGCCCTTTGGGACCACAACGAGTCGCCAACATACACCGAAACAAGTAGGAACTCCCCAGGATGCCCACAAGAAGCACTGAGAAAGTTTGGGGTCCGTCTGGCTATTTTCTAATTAGAGCGTTCAATGCTAAATCATAAAACTTTCAATGCAGGGCAGCCGCAAAGATGTTGCCAAAGCTTCCGGGGCCCACACAACCACAATTGCGAAGACCTTTCAGGCCATATTTGCCCTTCTTTATGAAGCCACCGCTAGGGTCTTTGGCGGCGGGGTCGGTAGCCTCCCTGACATGTTCTTTTCAGGCAGAAATCCACATAGGTGAAGGGCTCGGGCGAGCGCACCATGTTACGCAGCAACTTGGTGAGCACCAAGTGCTTGAAGCAGTCGATGGCACTGCCCGCCTGGGGCAGAATGCTTTCGGGCCCTAAATCGAATGATTCTCCTGACGCTGGCCCATACTTTACCATGTTCACCCCCTTTGTAGGTCCAAGAGAAACGACGCCAGAAACTCCGACGTTTGGTCATTTGCCCAGAAACAGTCAAAACAATGACCCCAGTGATGGGATAGCGTCCTCATTGGATTGTCTGTCAGATGTCGGAGGGTATTCGCTCAGGGCGATTGTGGTTCCCTAACGACAGCTCAGGGTTCGGCTCACCCTGGGCTGATTTCAGGGGTCTTGTGAAAAGCCATGACAAAAGCAGCTCATGAAAAACATTAGGAATGGTTACCTTTAACTAAAAAATAGGAAGTACTTTGACAACCAAAAAACATAAATGCTTGGCTACCTCTATAGTGTAAAAGGCACGGGGTTGCCTGCAAGCCATGTAACTTTGAATCAAGTGCTAACTCGACCCTGCTCACGCGGATTCCCATCCATTCTGTGGATGGACAAATTCCACACCCGTTGGGATGGAAGAAAACCGCCTGGCAGCTGATCCAGGTTTTCGTGCATCCCCAATATGACTGCAAGAGCACCACAACCAATAAGGCCGAACCCCTCGTTCCCAACAACTATGACTCTATAATCCTTATCCCCAACTATCCTGCCCCTTGTGCACTAAATGGGAATTTTAAATACTTGCGGAGAAGTGTCTTTTTGTGGGGGGTGCGCCCATCTTCTCTGCGTCACCTATAGTGAGGATGCGCTGCTGGATGCACGCATCGTTGAGCCAAGGTACAGTGGCCATGTTTAAGAAGCGCGCCTTTTGGCGGCCGATGTTCTAGGGAAACTCAAAAAAAAAGAGAGAACCCTTAAACGGCTAATATCGCCCTGTTGTACGGGTAGTTGGAGGGTACGAGCTCAGAAAGAGAAACTGTTCTCGAGGTCTGGCCCCCAACTCACGAAAGCGCCTGCACCATGTGGTCGTAGTGCGCTCCCCCGAAGCTGTCGCAGCCTCGATCTCGACCGAAGCGGATTTCTACGAGTAGGTTCCCCAAAAAACACGGAGGGCAAAGGGGCAAAGTTGGTGAACAAAACGCCGGACCCTCAAACTACCAGAAAACAAAATCGGTTCCCCAAAACTAGGCAGTGGTTTGGGGTTGTCTCCCATTTTGAGGGAAGAGGGAAGATATTTTCAGGCCTGCTTGCAGCATGTCATCGATGAGCAGCATGGTCTGCCGCCACTGCCTGGAAGCCTGGCAGCGTCTTTTCGTCCACCAAGAAGGCATTTTGCAGATGGAGCCTTAGACCACCCCCAAAATGCGAAAAATGACCCAGCCCACCTACCAAAAACCACGCTTTTTGTAGATGGACCCTCAGACTACCCCAAGAATGGATTTACTGCTTGGCAGGAGAGCACTCCTTTGGGTTGGTGGCTTGTTCCCGGAAAAGCCAAGCACAAAAACTGTTACTCGGCGCTTGGTGTTTTTTGTTTTCCGACACTGGACCAATCACACTGGCAGATTCAATTAAAAAGGCCTGGTTAAGTGTTTGTCTCCAATCACATGGCATACCCATTAAAATGGGCCACCCCTTACTCAACCAGGCTTTATTCGTGGGCCCATTCCAAAATTCCAGTGGGTGCGTCCCCAAAAAGCGGGCATCAGGTTCTTGTCACTTTCCCACTCACCCAACAAAGGGGTGCCCCTCAAGAAATATCCGTGTCTCATTTGTGCGATCTCCTGGTGTGGCTCCTCAAATCGACCAAACCAAGGCAACTCCGCCAAAAGGTCCCTTTGCCTAAGGGCTCACATTGGCCTGGTGGAAAGGACCCTACAACAATGGTTGCCTTCCAAGGATGTTTGATGACAATTCCAATCGCCAGTGGCTTGTCCCAATATTGAAATCGGCTCAACCAACATGCCGAAAATTGGCCAATTCCCTTGCCCCCACTACCTGTTTGAGGCCACCTGAGTGATCTTGATCGGCCAGAACTTATTTGCAGGAACCTGTCTGGGCGTTCCGGCTCACATGGGATGGATCAAATCTCGTGAGTCCATCAAATCTGGGTTCCTCCAAGCCACCAGACCTCGAGTTGAGCGACCTAGAACGGCTTCCTCCATGCCAACCCATCAATCGAAATTGCCGGTATCGTCAGTTGACGATCGATGCCTGAACTTGTGGTCTGTGAAGAATCCGACTCCCACTGATTCTTTCCGCGGAGAACTCGAAAGAACATCTGTCTTCAAATTGGGGACACGAGGCGATCGGCAGGACCTTGCATCATGGTTTCTTAAAGTAGCTGCAGCCACTCAAGCCGAAATCAAAACTTGCCTTACAGGTCTGAACCCAGAGCCAGCCAGTTGCTGTCATAACCGATGTAGTTCGGCATCCACCTGGCTGCTGTCACCACCACAGTTCGGCTCGCCCCATGTCACCACAGAGCCGTCATCCAGGATGGCAGCAAAAGCACCCTCAGTTGCTTGGATCTGCTGGACGCCCACCAACTGCTTGTGCACCAGACAGCAGTCACCACCACGGTTCGGCTCGCCCCATGTCACCACAGAGCCGTCATCCAGGATGGCAGCAAAAGCACCCGCAGTTGCTTGAATCTGCTGGACGCCCACCAACTGCTTGTGCACCAGACAGCAGTCACCACCACGGTTCGGCTCGCCCCATGTCACCACAGAGGCGTCATCCAGGATGGCAGCAAATGCACTCTCGGTTGCTTGGATCTGTTGGACGCCCGCCAACTGCTTTTGCACTTGGCTGCTGTTGCCGCCATGGTTGGGATTTCCCCATGTCACCACCGAGCCGTCATCCCGGATGGCAGCAAAAGCACCCTCAGTTGCTTGGATCTGCTTGACTTTCACCAACTGCTCGTGCACTCTGATGCTGTCGCCGCCAAACATAGCATGGCCCCAAGTCACAACAGAGCTATCGTCCAGGATGGCAGCAAAAGCACGACCAGTTGCTTGGATCTGGTGGACATGGGTCAACTGATCTTGCACCTTGCTGCTGTCGCCACCGAATACAGGACGACCCCAGGTCACCACAGAGCCGTCGTCACGGATGGCAGCAAACGCTTCATCTGCGGCTCGGATCTGCTGGACACGCACCAACTGCTCTCGCACATGGCTGCTGTCGCCGCCGGAGCTAGGATTGCCCCAGGTCACCACAGAGCTGTCTTGCAGGATAGCAGCAAATGCAAGTTTCGTTGCCTGGATCTGCTTGACATTCACCAACTGCTTTTGCACTCTGATGCGCGCCCACTCGCCCGCGCGCCTGCGCGCGCGCGCCCGCGCGCCGCCAAAGATGGGATGGCCCCAAGTCACAACAGAGCTGTCGTCCAGGATGGCAGCGAAAGCCCCATATGTTGCTTGGATCTGGTGGACGCGCGTCAACTGCTTCTGCGTGTTGTCGCTGTCGAGAACGACCCCAGGTCACTACAGAGCCGTCATCGCGGATGGCAGCAAACGCTTCCGCCGCTGCTCGGATCTGCTGGACCCGCACCAACTCCTCTTGCACCAGGCTGCTGTCACCGCCAGACTCAGGGTGGCCCCACGCAAGCGCAGCGCCTCCTGGAACATACATGGCAAAAGCTCGAATTGTGGAAACTAGCCTCGCGGGCTGCACGATGGCATCAACGGTGTCCTCGTGTCGCACGCCCACCTCATTCAACGAAGATGTCGGATCTAACTGCCGTCCTCCAAAGACAAGCCTCAGAAAGCGCTGCTTCAACTGCTGTTGAGCCTCAGCCTTCAGTTCGCGGACACTCGAGTCTGGCGAAGGCAGCACGACGCAGCAGCCCTTCCCGCTTGGCAAATACACATGCACTTGCATTGCGAAAATGCTCGGAAGGGCTTGGGCAAAGTTTTAACAAACCAGGTCAAGGGGCACCTCAAACGAGGGAACAACTGTCTTGCTATCACATGTTTGGAGGGGTGGTTGCTGCATACCTCTTTTGGGCACAAATTTGCTTTCCGATCTTGCAGGGCCGTACAGCTGGCTCGAATGTCGGCCGGTGACACTATGGCTCCACGTCAACCCCCAGGAAGGGACTCGGGGATAAAGAGTTTTCAGGAGCTCTCGTCTGCCAAGTCGCCACTTGATTGTTTCCACCTATCCTTGGCCCATCCCAATCACAAGGTCATTTACAGCAGAGCGGGGGTCACATCGACGTGCCTTGGGTGTCTCTATTGTCATGTTGAATAGTCCCCGTTGAGGTGCTGTTGAGGCAAAGCAAGCAAGAGCTACACTCCATCTGAAAGACCGCACCAGTCAGAAAAATTCACTTCCAAAAGGGATGCTGATATCCGATGTTGAGAATAAGTTTTAGTTGGGATCCTGATGCAAAGGGCATCATTGGGAAACCCAAGTATGTTTGACTCATTCCCTCAACCGCCCCGACAACAAAGGCAAATCTGACGGGTCTGCCCGCAAACTATACCAACTGGGGCTCTTGAAGTCAACATTTGAGGGCTTCTCACAAAACTCGCTTGGGAACCGGTGGTTTCTTAGACTTTCCTGGAACCTAACTTGGAACCCACAAACGGGATCCACCACAAGGCGATTGCTCTCTATGCCATACCCCGGTTGCCTGAAAACCAGCAACCTGCACCCTCAACCCTCAAAAAAGGGGGCTACCCAAACATGGGGTGATGTCAACTCTCTTTAAAGGGCAGTTATGAGGATTCAGCAACATCCATCTAAGCCAGTGGAACCCATCTATTTCTATCCAAACTGACCTGGTTTCTTATGATTCCCCTGTGAGTACCAACCAACTTTACGGTGTCCCATGGTTTCCTTTCGTGGTGCGATTTCTGGATTTGGTCCATCCACAGTATGTTCTCAGCCACTTCGTCCTGCTGGTGCGATTTTCTCGGGAATCAGGGAATGAACCCATTTAATTTCAAGAAAACCACCGGTTGGACGGCTCATAGGGGTCGTTCCAACTCTCATTCCCAGCCTATCGCACCAGCAACGTTTCTGGCCATGGGTCAAAATCCCGTACCCAGTGAACATCCCAATCCCCACTAAAATAGACTCAAATGGATAATGCGCCGCCCAGAATGGGATCCCATTGGTTTTGACCCACCGCCAGAAAGGCGCCCGCAACGAGTCGAGCCGATGGCCGGTGGCCAACCCCACGCCGGCGCGACACCACAGGCCGCCAGCGCGGAATTGTAGCTCACCGCGTTGGGCGGCAACTGCCTCGAGCCGCAGACCGGTGGACCGCTTGTTCTCTTGGCGTTCCCTAAAAAAACAACCCAAAAAGGGGTACCCGAAAACAAGAAAGCCAACATGGACTGTATACTGCCCTCAGAATATGCGAATTTTGGAGGAGACCTAGCCTCCACCCCCACCAATCGCCTCGTCCGCATCTCCTCCAGCAGGCGCAGCACCTCCAGCCATCGCCCGCTCCGCTCGCAGGCGCTGATGGCCTCATTTCTTTGCTCGTGGCCAGCGGTGGAACCGCGGCTGTGGCCAGTTTTCCCCCAGAGAATTTCCCGGGCTTCCGGTCTGATTTATCCTACTTGTGGCTCGCCCAGCTTGCCAACCCACTGGGCAACTGGGAGCCAAGGAAACAAAACACGCACACAAACACAGAGCCAATGTGGCTCAGCGAATAATAAGGAAACCGCATTTCCTCCAAAATGGTTGGTGGACATGAATCCTCATGAAAATTGAAATGTCCACCGAGGGGTCAATTCCTAACGCTGCTCACAACTGTACCAACTTTGCTACTGCTGAGAAACAAGCACTCTGTCGGGCTTCTTGGTGGTCTTTAGATTGCCCTATGAGCGACCTGGCTCTTCGAAGAATTGGCACTTGTTGGAGTGTTCTTCCTGTGGTCATGAGGAGAACCTCAATGGATTGGGGTGCCTTTTTTGGACAAATCGAACCCAAGGAAACCCAAGCGGGGGGGTCCAGTGGGTTTATTTGAATCGGTAGCCTTTCTTGGGTGTTTGTTGGAAGGTCGCCAAAAGGACCATGCATTTACATTATCCTACTCGACCAACCATAGAGGGAATCCTCGCCCATTGTTCAACTAACGTTGCACAGGTCTGTTGAAGTCCGAGTCTGCGCATTTGGGGAGCTTTCTTTGCCAGGTTGGGCAAGATAAATCAAGGTACCTGACACAAACAGCAGGCAAAAGGCTGGATTCCAAAGAAATGCTTTTTCCAAGCTCCTTGCAGGTGCGCACCCCTCAGAAACACACCACATGTGGCTGCTCGCCCAGGATGTGCGCAGCGTATGTATTCATACATACCGTCCCTTGCATGACTTACTGGCACCTTACAGCAGTTCGCATCTTCTCTCTACAAATTGGGGAGCAGGAAACAAACATGATTCTATAGTGTGGGTTTCCTGCGGGGAAATCACAATCAGATGTTCAACACCAATTAAACTACTCAGAAACCATCGCGTGGGGATGTTTCTTTATCGCGTGGTCCCTCATTTGTTGCAAGGGTTCAATACAACATTAAGATCCCACCTGGACTTTGTCGGCTACGGATGACTGCGTGTAATTAGGACAACGCCGAAGCAATTCCCACAATGCACCTGTGTTTTTTCCGCCCTTTTTCAAAGGTCCTGAGAGGCTCCAAAAACGGAAACCTAGACCCCCAAACTACCCTCGCACATGAGGAATCTCCCCAACGGGAACAACCAATCTTTAAGGGTGGTTTAAGGGTTAAACAAAAAGCAACCCCCTTGATGAACAACCTTCATACCCCCATATTTGTGGGGCGAGAAATCAATTTTAAGCGTTTAGGGTAGTTCGAGGGTCCAGGTACTCTTTGTTCAACAACCTTGAGGATTGCATCTCATCCGAGGTGCTGTGCTGTAGGTCACCACAGTCAGTTGCAGCCGCGCGCCCTTCCTGAACTCACTACACGCTCAACCCTAAACCTCGCTTGGTCCACTGGGGTACACAGAAAAAAGAGATTCTGTTCCCCAGAATTTACCCCCTCCACAAACATGGACCTGGCTGGGGTTTAGCAAGACCATCTTCCTCCAAAGGGGACCCTCTGGTGGGTTCCATGTGGACGGGAGAGGCATGTGCCAAACGTTGCCCGAAGGCCTCCGACTTGCAGTCCGCAGACTTGAGGACTTTTCAAAGGACTGCCCAGATTCAGAGACAGCTTGATCAATTTGGAAGATACGTGTTCTTTGGTTCCCCCTAGGAAATCCGTCACCTTCACGAGAACACGCCAACATATCACTACAAGAAGCTGATGCGAACCTACCCCAAAGCGATGCGAGAGGATGCCAAGCAGTGGACTCTAGAGGTGCCCTCTTCCAATGCATCTTCCCTGGGCGGGCAGTACGGGTGAGATAAACAAGTGCTATCAGCGCCAACTGCTCCAAATGATGCTTGTAATGCTGAGGATGCTGCAGCGGAGCATGGGTTCGGATAGAACAAAAACAAGGGTTCTGCGCACGTTTCACCCCCAAAACCGGTTCAACGTGCCTATTCCGCAATTTGCACGCCGTGCCCACGGTTGTCATTGTTTGGACGGCTCAAGGAATTCCAGTACCCTCACAAGACACATCCATAACATTGAAAAGGCCTCAAAATGGCAAAGAGCTTCCTTTGGCTCTGCCTGCGTTTGTCCCTAGCAAAAGTGGGTCAATCCAATGGCTTTGGGCCAGACTAGAAGCTTAACCGTCTGTTATTTCCAGAATCTTAAACCTCACGAAAGGAAACTCACCTTGGCAACCGAAGGGCGCTTCCCTCAACAAGGCCAGCGCGTGGCACCAGGGGGCACCGCTCATCGCTGCGTTGTAGCCTCGGATCGACACCGTCCAAATGCCCCTGTGGGAGGGCGTGTCAGCGTGTCAACCCCTGGCTCCTCACTGCATCCACGGAGAACCAGCTTTCAACAAAAAAAAATGGCCTCCATTTCGCTTGACCAGCAGAAAGGTGGTTCAAAACCCTTGAGACACATGCCATTTCAGTAGGGCAGCAAGTTCAATTTCCGGGGCCCGCGCTGATCACCGTGGCTCGTGGGCTCAGCTCCCGCAGCATGGCCAACGCGAGCGCCCAGCGCTCGCCTTGGCCATGGCGCCCCGGAAGAGAACGAAAGGAAGACGCACGCGTGAAAGCCACTGTCAAAAATGCTCGTTTCCCCAAGAGGATGGTTTAAGCCCTCACTAAATGCACATTGGACTAAATGGCAATGTTGGCCGAACCTGATGTGGGCATGTTGTTTTTCTCCCGGACTTTAGGTCGTTTTCTTTTGGTTGGACACGTGGGAACCCGAAAGGGTGGCCTGGACGCAAGACAAATTGGGAACGTTGCAACCCTAACCGGGTGTGAAATCGATGGACATGATTTAGGACCTTTCGGTACGCTTTGGAATGACATGAAGAGTTGGCTATCTGGCCCCCAGCTTCACGAAAAACCCTGGAGAAGCCGGTTGCAAAGTTCCTTGTCCACATTGGGCCCTTCCGAAGCCCGCAGTCCCCGAAAGGGGAAAAGACGACCCCAAGGGAACACTGCAAGGTGCTGGATTTCGCTTGGAGCCCGGGTCGTCCAAAAAGGAACCGGGCCCCTCCGAGGTGCATCTTGCACATGCGCTCATGGCAGCGTTCACGGTGATGGCGCTGGTCCTTGGCTGCCCACCAGTAGAGTTCCCAAAGTCGAGATCATTCAGTGTGCTTTCACAAACCGATTTGCTGGCTGCAAGCTGCACAAACATCATCAAATTATCTGCCATGCTTGTTGCGACGACATGCATCGTTCATCTTTTCCTGCGTGCACTCTTTGCTCCTTGAATATCTGAGGACAATCTCCAAACAGGCGCTGCTGTCATGGTTGATTCTCCAGTTCCTATCGTATAACTGTGGATACCTAAGGGCGGGGGCTTGTGTTTCAAAGGTTGACTATCTAAACTCTCCATTTGGACCTATTTTAGTAATTAAACCAAGGTGAGCAGCCAAGGAATCGAGCCTTCACCAATAACATGATCTGCATGCCACACCTGGCAAACAACACTAGTGGGGGTCGTGCCTTGGGCAGATCCGGTTAGTAGAACTTGCCCAGGAATCGCATGATTTCGCAAAACCCAGGTAAGACTTTGGAAAGGTCTACGCAGACTGCGCCGAAGAGCTCGCAGAACCTGTTTCTGCTTGCAATAGTTGTGGCCTAAGCTTTGCATAACTTCATGGAGCCTCCCTGCAGAACAGCTCCCAAAACCCCAACACTTGGCCAAAGTTGAAGAAGCATCACTTAAGGCCCAATTCCAGTTTGGAGAAATGCACCTTAGATATAATCCAAACCACCATCGGTTTCTTCCAGTTTTGGGGGCCCATGCCGAAGGTCTAAACATGTATACACCACCTGCTGTGAAAGAACATGACAGCCAAGAGGCTTCACCCGCTGGAGGCGCGAGTTCCGCAACAAGGCCAGGGCCACTTCCCACTGCCCGCCTTTGTCGCACGCGCTGACCGCCGCGTTCCACGGCACCTCCGACTTTTCCTTTGCGCCTCAAGAAGCACCGGAGAAGGGAGGCCTTGCTTCGTTTAGCATTTTCCACCCCGAAAAACGCTTGGTTCGCTCACAAATAAGCGGGAGTGCTACCAACTGAACCATGCAGGCAGCAGGCACGGAGCCTTCGACGCATCTCTGAGTAACTTCCTTGGAAGTCACAGGCTTGGTTTGTTAAGATGAAGGCACGAAGCCATCAAAAGGACTTGTCAAGGAAACACTTTCTGCCTCCTTTTCAGGAGACATCTGCAGTCTGCTCCTTGGGGCAGGCGCAGAGCCGTTCAGCTTTTTGAAGGAGACGCCTTCTGCCTTCTTTTTGAGGAAGCGTCTGGCTCCTGTGGGCAGGCGCGGAGCCGTTCAGCCTTTTGAAGGAGACACCTTCTGCCTCCTGTTCAGGAGGCGTCTGGCTCCTGTGGGCAGGCGCGGAGCCGTTCAGCTTTTTGAAGGAGACGCCTTCTTCCTCCTCTTCAGGAGACGTCTGCCTCCTTGCGGCAGGCGCGGAGCCGTTCAGCTTTTTGAAGGAGACGCCTTCTGCCTCCTCTTCAGGAGGCGTCTGGCGCGGAGCCTTTCAGCTTTTTGAAGGAGACGCCTTCTGCCTCCTCTTCAGGACGTGTCTGGCTCCTGTGGGCAGGCGCGGAGCCGTTCAGCTTTTTGAAGGAGACGCGTTCTGCCTCTGCCTTCTTGGAGCAGGTGGGAGAGGCACAGAGTTTTGAAGGAGACGCCTTCTGCCTCCTCTTCAGGAGACGTCTGCCTCCTTGCGGCAGGCGCAGAGCCGTTCAGCTTTTTGAAGGAGACGCCTTCTGCCTCCTCTTCAACAGATTTCTGCCTCCTTGGGGCAGGCGCGGAGCCGTTCAGCTTTTTGAAGGAGACACCTTCTGGCTTCCTGAAGGAGCCAAGTTCGGCTTCCTGAAGGAGCCAAGTTCGGCTTCCTGAAGGAGCCAAGCTCGGCTTCCTGAAGGAGCCAAGTTTTGCTTCCTGAAGGAGCCAAGCTCGGCTTCCTGAAGGAGCCAAGTTCGGCTTCCTGAAGGAGCCAAGTTCGGCTTCCTGAAGGAGCCAAGCTCGGCTTCCTGAAGGAGCCAAGTTCGGCTTCCTGAAGGAGCCAAGCTCGGCTTCCTGAAGGAGCCAAGCTCGGCTCCCTGAAGGAGCCAAGTTCGGCTTCCTGAAGGAGCCAAGTTTTGCTTCCTGAAGGAGCCAAGCTCGGCTCCCTGAAGGAGCCAAGTTCGGCTTCGTGAAGGAGCCAAGTTCGGCTTCCTGAAGGAGCCAAGTTCGGCTTCCTGAAGGAGCCAAGTTCGGCTTCCTGAAGGAGCCAAGTTCGGCTCCCTGAAGGAGCCAAGTTCGGCTTCCTGAAGGAGCCAAGTTCGGCTTCCTGAAGGAGCCAGGTTTTGCTAGGAGCCAAGCTCCAAGTTCGGCTTCCTGAAGGAGCCAAGTTCGGCTTCCTGAAGGAGCCAAGTTCGGCTTCCTGAAGGAGTCAAGATGGGCGTCCTCCTGAAGGAGCCTGGCAGAAAAATACTGTGCCTCCTATGGAAGATCATCAATTCGCAGACGTCGATGCAACTGGAGCACCTGCGCAGGCAGAAGTTTGTCCGCTAAGCCCTACCTCGTTGGTGGCAGAATCTTGCGTCTTCTGGCAGCGTGGACATCGGAGCCTTGGTGCCAAACTGGGCTGCGTTCCTTGTTGGCTTCCTTTTGGGGAAATCAACCAAAACATGCACGGATACTGGGTGCTCCGAAAAGAGCGAAAGCGCCGACATTCAAAATTGAAGCCAGGGACCCCCCCGACCCCTCCTTTCTGCCCTCAAGGGAGGTGGTTTCCTTGTATGGTGGTTATGAATCTCGGTTCATGCAAGCTCAAGATACACCCTGCATCTTGCATGCCTGGCAAATCAACACAATCGAAGACGCTCGCTCTACTGATACAGTGAGTCTCATACTCTGGGTGTGGCTCAAAGATGAAGAGCTATAAATTTACGCAGATCGTCTTCTCTAAATTTATCAAGGTGCCACGGATTTCCATGTTTTTGAGCCACACCCATATACATTGCACTGGCTCTCTCTAGGGCTTTTGGGGCCGCTTAGGCCCCCAAACCCCCTAGGCCCGGGCCGGAACACTTCGCCAGCAAGCCCAAGGCCTCGGCAGCCGGGGAGTGGAACATGAAGAATGGGACATCACCTCCAGTTTTGGAAAGCAGAATGGGTTTCAAGGGTTGAGGGTCCAGACATGTCTCAAAAGTACCCTCCCGTCCAAGAACATCTTTCAAGACCTCCCAGGCAGGTTCCATGTTGCTGGATGGGATGGTACGTACGGATCTTCATCATGGGTGAGCTCGTCTCATCCCCAGGTGAGCTTATTTGTTCTGTATGAATAGGGTGTGACTATTGACAAAACTGCACAAGTGATGTGTGCCATGGTGGTCTCCCTTCAAACCGAACCCCTAAAGGGATCCGGTGTTGGCATCAACGGCTCAACCGCTCAACGGCTCAACGATCTTTTGGTCATGCTCAGGCTAGGGTGTCTTGAGGCAACTTGAATTGTTGCGTCTCATGTTCAAGCGGTTGGTTGGCCCAAATCTAAGTTGGATGAACCGAGCACATTGGGTGTGGTGTGCGACAGAGCCACACGCTGAATCAAGGTATTCGCAAAACAGAATGCTTCCTTGACCAGCACCATTTGGGTGTGAATGTAATTGGGGCCTTGGTGCCAGCAACCATCCCCTCTAAAGATTCATAGCCGTTGCTTGTTCGGGTGCACCAGACCAAAATGGTTCCTGCAACACTTTCCCGGTCAGACTTGCCCCAGCAAGGGATCAGCAGAAGTTCGCTTCATCAGACCAGCCAACCAGCCTGGCCCCACCCCACAACCCATCTACCTACTGTCAGCTCAACCAAACCAAACCGGGGAGATGGTTTCCCATTGGGTGCGGATTTATTTTGGGATTTTTTTTCGTTTTGTTTTGGGATTTTTTTTCGTTTTTCGTCCGGGCCAGCAAAATGTCGTATTTTACAGCATTTTCACGCGAAATTGACGCATTTTACTCTAGCTGGTCAACATCCCCAGCATCGTTTTCAACATCCCCCGCATGTCCGACCAACATCCCTAGCATCACCAACAAATCGTGGGTAACAAAATCAAAAAAGTAGCTGGCGGGTTGACGGGGTCAAAAAAATGATGATTCAAAAAGGAGGGCATTTCAATCCCAGCAAAAAAAAATACAAAAAAAACAAGAAAAACAGAGCGGGGTAGTGATGATTCGAACAGGGGTGCAATTAAATCTCTGCAAAAAGTCTAAAAAGTAGCGGGGGGGGTTGGGGGGGGCGGCAGCCCTCCCCATGATGTTCGAAGAATTGATGATTCAACTAGGGGTGCAATTAATTAAATCTCTGTAGAAAATCTGGGGGGGTTGGGGGGGGGCTGCCGCCCCCCCCATGATGTCGGAAGAAGTGGTGATTCATACACGGACTACACAGATTACCTAAAATGTCGTATTTTGCAGCATTTTCTCGCGAAATTGGACGCTCGAAAAAGTGATGATTCAAACAGGGGTGCAATTCAATCTCTGCCGGGCCAGTAAAGTGTCGTATTTTACAGCATGTTCTCGCGAAATTGACGCATTTTACACTAGCCCGTCAACATCCCCCGCATGTCCCACCAACATCCCTAGCATCACCCACAAATCGTGTGACGGGGTCAAAGAAATGATGATTCAAGTAGGAGGGCATGTCAATCCCTGTAAAAAATATATAAAAAGTAGCGGGGGGGTTGGGGAGGGCGGCAGCCCCCCCCACGATGTTGTTTGCAGAAGTGATGATTTGAATAGGGGTGCAATTAAATCTCTGCAAAAAGTCTAAAAAGTAGCGGGGGGGTTGGGGGGGGGCGGCAGCCCCCCCCATGATGTTCGAAGAATTGATGATTCAACTAGGGGTGCAATTAATTAAATCTCTGTAGAAAATCTAAACGTAGCGGGGGGGGTTGGGGGGGGCGGCAGCCCCCCCATGATGTCGGAAGAAGTGGTGATTCAACTAGGGGTGCAATGATTCAAGAAAGGGTGTGATAGAATTTACAAGGCAGCGGGAGGGTTGGCGGGGGTGGCTTCCCCTATGATGTTCGAAGAAATGCATACATACAGACATACACGGACTGCGCAGATTTCCTAAAATGTCGTATTTTGCAGCATTTTCTCGCGAAATTGGACGCTCGAAAAAGTGATGATTCAAACAGGGGTGCAATTCAATCTTTGCCGGGCCAGTAAAGTGTCGTATTTTACAGCATGTTCTCGCGAAATTGACGCATTTTACACTAGCCCGTCAACATCCCCCGCATGTCCCACCAACATCCCTAGCATCACCCGGCAGCCCCCCACCCATGATGGTCGAAGAATTGATGATTCAACTAGGGGTGCAACCCCCCCATGATGTTCGAAGAATTGATGATTCAACTAGGGTGCAACTAATTAAATCTCTGCAGAAAATCTAAAACGTAGCGGGGGGGTTGGGGGGGGCGGCAGCCCCCCCCATGATGTCGGAAAAACGCCACCTGCCGAAGAGGAACTGGGAATGCAGAGGATGCGAAAAGCCAAAAAGCAACCAAAAGCCGCATAAACCAGCAAAAAGCCGAAGAGCCTAGAAGCCCAGAAGCCGAGAAGCCAAGAAGCCGAAAAGCCAAGAAGCCAAGAAGCCAAGAAGCCAAGAAGCCAAGAAGCCAAAGCCAAGAAGCCCAGAAGCCCAGAAGCTGAGAAGCCAAGAAGCCAAGAAGCCGAAAAGCCGAGAAGCCAAGAAGCCGAGAAGCCAAGAAGCCAAGAAGCCAAGAAGCCAAGAAGCCAAGAAGCCAAGAAGCCAAAAGCGAAAAAAATTCCCAAAAAAAAACGAAAAAAAATCCTAAAATAAATACCCCTCCTTTCCCATTTGATACCCAACTTTCCTTGAGCAGCCCCATTTCCTCTCGCAGGTACTAAGGGGCCCTTGGTCGGGTTGACACACAAATCAGGCGAACTTTCTTGACGCCACCCTTGGAATAGTTGGTTTGAAGGACTCCCCCACCTACCAGGGTTCCACTTTTTGACCGTGACTTAAACCCAGGGTTGGGGCATGTGCCCCAAAAAGGGAAGCCCTGAGTTCAAGTCTATTTGCGGGTCAAAAAATGGAACCCTGCCGCCCACCCACCCCTTTGGGCCCCGCGCCACCTGCCACTCCGAGCAGGCCCCCGCCGCGCCGATGCAGCCAGTCCAGGTGAAGGCGTCCGGCACCAAGCGGCTTCCCTGTGCCTGAGCCCATCGGACACACCACGTGTTGATGTTGGTTGGCTTTCCTTGAGGCGTGAGCCCCAAATCGGATACACCACATGGTGTTGCTGTTGTTGGTGGTTGTTGCTTTTTTGTTTGAGACGAAGGCTCAGCATAAACTTGCCAGGCTTTGTCTTGTTGAAAGGGGGAACCCCCTATATGGGTTTGTGCTTTTGAGGCCAAGGGCGCCCTGTTCAGAATGGGTTGCCGCTAAGGGTTCCCTGCTCAGGTTGGTTGTATCTTTTGGGATATTACATGGAAAACCCAAATCCACTTTCAGGGGTGCGAATCCTAAAGTATTTTGACACATACCCCATGACATAAACCATCCAACTTGTGGCTGTTCGCTAAGGGAATCCCCAGGTTCATTCTCACCCCGTTAATTCCCTGACAGAGACAAAATCGTTGAAAGCAAAACATTGGGCCCTTCTCCGAACCTCTAACTGGTTGCCTGAGGGGCCAAGCCCTGTTTAAACATGGAGTAGGTATCCAGGGGAACGCATCATGTCAAAACCAGGAAAAAACCCTGGCCCTGGTTACCTATAGGACCTAAAGTGGCGAAACGCCTGGAAGCGCTAAAACCAATACTGAAACACACTCCTTTTGGCTTTTCCTGGGGGGAACCAGGGTATGCTAAACCGAGCGGGATCCCCCCACTGGATGTCATGAGGCTCTCGGGTTTTCACATGTGCTTTGCCCAAGAGAAACCCATGAACAATGATGATAAAAAAGGGCCCGGAGTGTGGGACCCGGGAATCCAGGTCACGCCATGAAAGATAATCAGGTACTGAACCTTGATGCCGGAAATGAACAAGCTCAAACCAGCCAAGCCAGTTGCGTTGACCTCGGACATCGAGAAGATCTGGGAATCAGTCCGAATCCAGGGAGCCCTTCTTGTTGGAAGAAATGGAGCTCTTAAAGAAAAGTTTGGGGATTAAGCTTTGGATAAATATGTTATGGCCCTCGTTCCATCCGGAGCGCCCCTCCACTCAACAGTGAGGGGCACCCTGCCGTTGACCATTTCTGTTCACCCACCCAACCAAAAAGGGGATGTATTCATCTGGGTGTAAAAATCCTTTGAGCCTTTAGACATCACTTCGGGCTCCACTAACCACCTAAAAGTGGTAGTTCCAACTCATAATGTGTATATATATATATTAAAAAAGAGAAACAAAACACATCGGCAACTGGCGACCCCCCCCCCCCCCCGCATTTCGCACGTGACCCGCCCTAGCGCTTCACCGCCCGGCGCCATTCCCCGCCTGGCCCAACACTTGCACCGCCCAACGCCAGGCACCGGGAGCGCCGCTCGCGGCGAGCGCGGCAGCCACCGCGTTGTAGCCTCGGGGCTTATAGCGCGGGCCTTGACTGGGTCCTCCAGTAGAGGGGTTAGAAGTATAGGGTTAGAGTAAGGGTACCAACTTGTTTTAGTTTTGTCTATTTTAGTAGGGAACACTCCCCCAAAAAAGGGGAGAGAAGGGCACTGCTGGAGGACCAAGTGGAGTCTCCATCACCCTTATGGGGTTCCCCAAAATCATGGGGTTCCCCAAAATCATGGGGTTCGACAAAATCATGGGTGGCATTTGGATACAGGGTTTCCACAAAAAACTTGGGGTCATTCTGATACAGAGTCGTTCCCCCTACCCTTCTACATGGCCGTGTAGATAGTGGTTTGGGGGTGGATACACGGCTCGCTGGATTGCCTCGCATGCAATCTCCGATTGCCAAGTGTAATCTCAGCTTCCAAGGCAAAGAACTGTGATCAGGGTGGTTGCATGCGTTGACAAGTGGACATGCAAGACCCGAAACGCACTGCCAGCCCCAGAAATGGCGGAGCCCGCTGTTGCTGCAACACACATAACGTGGCAATCTAATCCACTCCTGATTTGCCACCAAGAAGCTTATCAATTGCATTTCGACCGTCTGTTCCAGCATTGAATCAAACACACCCAGCGCATGCTGCCACTGCGCTCCATTGGAGCAAGCTGTGATAGCCTAAGCTTTGCGGGTCGCACTTCCCGGACGTGGCCCACAAGACATCACGACTCTCCTGCAGATTAGCATAGAAACGGGAAACAAAAGGATCTGGCCATTTTGGGCAGAAGCTCGTTTAGGGACCCAGATCCCTGTTTTCGGGTCCATCACGAAACACGTAGGATTGACCAAGATCCTCCTCTGGGGCCCCTTTCTTCTTAGTCGATTAGGGAGTTTCCCTGGTAATATGCTTGCTTGTATACCAAGAAGCTTCTTGCCACACATCGGGTCGAATCTGCATTTGTGTACAGGAGAACATGTTTCTGGCCCACGATTCCCGCAACTTCGAAAGTCTGTGACGATGCACGCACCGCTTGCTGGCAACCAAGCCAATCCTGCTGACCTAAATACGATTAAAATCTGCTGCAACCCAGGACCAGAGCCATGTTGGTCCCCCTTTCAACCCATGCCAATGTGTATCCTCCTTTGCAACCCAAATGGTTGCAGGGGGCTTCGCATAGACCCCAGTTCTCACAGCTTCCTTCCTCAAAAAGGGCCTGAGACCAAAGTCTGCAGGCCCAAATTCCGTTTATCTTGGGCGAAGACACTGTAACAGGATACTCGGACCCTTAAATCACCCACACATTTGGAAGTTCACCGCACACATGTTGGCCAATACCAGCGTTTTCAGAGTAGTTTTACTAGTTTTAGTCGAGGTGGACAATCGGTCCCCAATCGAAATGTTCGACCCTTGCGGCTTGGTCGTCAATTGGCTCGTTTAGCATTCCTGTCAATTGATTTTCTCTTCTTAGCCAGTCTCTTCAAACGCCTGTAGCTTCCTATGCATTGTTTTTGTGGCTGAAAAGAGGGACACCTGAAAGGAAGGGTGAAGTTATGCCTGCGTTTGTTTCAACTCAGAAACCAGCAGTGCCGCTGCAACGATATTCCCCCCCCTTCCTTTTTCCACCCGTGGCCATGGAAAAAGCGAGCACCTGTGTTTCGAATCCCAATGCCGTGCAGCGGTTTGGGGTCTATTCCCAGTCAGGGTCTCTGCATGTTTGCTTAGCCTTAATGTGCCGTGCCACATTGAGTCCCCTGGAAAAATAATAATATTTCCAGAAGTGATAGGTCACCTTTAAAACCAAAAGAGAAAATAACACATATTCTCAACCAACTGGAAATCAGTGAATCCCCCTACAAAACGTCGGAAAGGACGCAGCCCACGTAAAGTCCATCCCTCTCCCGGCGAGGCACTGCGTTGAAGCCCACCACATCCACACAGCGGGCTCTGAAGCCATCTGGCTGACTCAGCGGTTTCTGACTCGAAACTGTGACTAAACCCGGGTATCCTTGACGGCCCCGAACTTCCGAACCCTCGGCCCCCAAGCTCAGGAACCCTCCCTGAAAGCTGCGAACCACCCCAAAGCTTGTTTGGGCCTATTGACCCCAAAGCTTTCAAACAGATTCACCTGAGCACCTGAGCACAATGCCCCGCCATGCCCCGCCTGACAGCAGCGCCAAGGCTTGTTCCCAGACCTCCCGGCAACCCGAGATCACCGCGCCGTACACGACGCAGTTCGCCTCGATGGAGGTGAACCTCCCAGGGCAACCATAGCACCCCGCCCCCCCGCCCCTCCCTGACCAGTCAGCCAGTCGATCCCTAAGCCCCCTAGCCCCCCAGCCCGCCAACCCCCAGCCCCTTTCAGGTTCTTGCCAAAGCCTTCAGGCCGCAACCTTGCGAACTGCCAATTCCTGTGGAGAATCAGGAATCGCTTGGTTGGAACACCTTTCAAAATCAGCGCCAAGGGATCTCTCGAAAAGAACTGCCAAATCATGATCTGGAACAGAAACCTTGGAACATCCTTGAAACTTGGCTGTTTGTGTCTGGAGACTCCCAAGTACTCCCAGCCATGAGGAAATTATACCAAAAAACGTGGGTGAGTAAGCAGGTTAGTTTGAGCATCCAGGTACTCCTGCAAGGTTATGACCGAGTTCACGAGCCACTTACTCAGTTCACGAGCCATTTTCTACTGGGAGTTTCTCAAAATGGGATTCGGACCCCTTTTGGTTGGCATACAAAATGTGAAACCAAAGGACACCAACCATGGGGATCCATTTTAAGAAACATCCGCGCGTGCCCAATGCGTCCGGGGACAACCGCAGGCCATTCTACATTGGCCGGACCATCAAAACACAGGACATCTTGAACCACCCATCATTTTAGGAGCTCCAAAACAGAAAAATCACAAACCATAGTTTTAGGGCAACAACCCAGAAAAGAGTTGGCCCAATTTCTGGTAGCACATTCCTCCTTTGTTAGTCAGGAGTCAACAACAAGCCCTAACGAGTAGGGGTAGATTTCTAACAGTTTGACACATACCTGGGTGGCTTTCCTTTGGGTTTCCCCTCAAGGACACCCTCAGAAACACACGCCTGGGAGAGGCCAGACTTTTCAGCTGGCTTCGTGGCTTTTTGCCGTTCCCGCCTCATGTCCGCGAGCAGCTGCAAGCACCAGGGCCAGCGCGCCGCCCGGGCGCACGCGCTGGCACAGGCGCTGTAGCCTTCAGCGCACTTTTGCGGGCGAGGGCAACGAATTTGACATTTCAAGCAAGGCCAGGTCCTCCAGTAGAGAGGATAGAAAAGGGCACCCTTTTTCTGTAGTCTATTTTAGTAGGGGAACCCTCCCTGAAGAAAGGGTAAAAGGGCACTACTGGGGGACCTAGTTCTACTGGACTTCCTGGTGGGCATGTGCCCAATCTGCTGCAAGAATCAGGGGTAGCTGCCGTGACCCTCAAACTGCCCAAAACAAATTGGCCGTTGCCCTGAAATTGTGGGGGTGCTTCGATCCATGTTTAAGGGTAGTTTGAGGGTGCAGGAGCAAGAGGACATGAGGAATCAATCGAAGACATCATTCAAAACTCCGGGAAACAGATTCAGCAGTGATGCAACACATCTCGACACTCAGGCCTCCATGAAAATCATGAAAGGGAGTAAATCCAACATCATGGAGTGCCAACCAAAAGTCTTAAGATAAAACTAGCCCCCTCCCCCAGGCTAACATGGAAGCTCCCAGGACACCTTTGGAAGACTTCCATTTTACAGCCGTGTCAGCCATGGCGCTGAAGCAGTTGGCCTCCAGCCCTTCATCCTCCAGTGCCACGAGCAGTACCAAGGCCTCCGCCCAGCCGGCTGCCTTGATGACCTTCGTGCGCGTTTTCAGGACCTCGGCCGCCGAGTGGTCCAACGTGGCTGTTTGGATGGGGGCATCCCGAACGCCACTACGAAAAGAAACCTCCATCATCTGGCATTAAGTGTTAAGGATTGGTTCTGAACAACCTAGAGTCTAGAGCAAGACAAAAGCAAGACGAACGGTTTAACACAAACAAGGTGAAGCACAGAATAAACAAGCAAGCATGGCCGAAGCATGGAAGAGCAAAGCTCTGACACATGTTGTCAACTTTCGCAAGCATGCTGATGAGATACCAGTCAACAGACAAACCTTAACTTTCCCGGGTATTGATGGTGGCTCATTGAGGTCCTGTTCAAAGCTTCAAAACCAGAGCTGTTGCCCACGTTGCTCGATATGATTGTCCAGCAAGGGAACTAGTGCTGGGTCTCAACCATTGAACGCATGCTTAAACTACCCGAGAAGCGGCGTGCAGTTTACTCGAATCCACACAAACAAATCAGCAATCCAGCACCTGACCCTCAAACTGCCCGTTCAGGAAAGGTATAGCTTCGAAATTGTGGTTGGTGATTTCATTTCCCATTTTAGGGCTACGCTGAGGGTCCAGGCACACCCAACCCGCCCTTTCCAGCCACGTGGCGGAGCTCGGGCTCATCGAATTCTAAGCCGCGGCGCGCAGAGCCCAGGGCCCCCCAGGGCCCCCGAAGCCCCGAAGGCAGAACGTGGGCCAAAGACTGCGAGGCGCCAGCTGAAGTCACGTGCACAATGTCCATGGACATTTGGTGGACGTTCGGTGAACCATATCCAAGCACCTGGTGGTTTCCTGCTTTACCAATCACAGGTGAATCATGGTGATATGTAACTACTGTCATTTTGCTCATAAGCGCGGTGACTTATCACCTACTCACTCAGTGGGTTGAACATCCAAGTACCTCGTTCCTAGCCCAGTTTAATCCCCAGAGGCTTGAATGTTGGGATATGGACTTCGGGTCCCGAAATGGGCACCGTTTACTTTGGGCTTCCATTTGAAGGCCAACCGAAGAGGAGCAAAATTACCAATCCATCCCTAAGAAGTTACCACAAGAAAGAAAGAACTCTGCACCAATCTTGCGCTTGGGTACAGTTCTTCATTTGATCCAGCCGAGATCATTTGATCCAGCCAAACTAAAGTTGGACATGGCAGAATGTGTGCCGAGGCTGAAAGGTCGGCTCTGGCGAACACTGCTTGACCAATGGTCCGTTTTCAATTGCAGCCAAGTGCAAAAACGCAAACTTCGACATCACCTCCCTCAAGGCTCTTGGAACTTCATGAAGGTGTCTTTAAGGTCGGTTGGCCACCCGAATCCACTGGAAGACGAAGCTTGAAGAGGTGCTTTTAGAATCCTTCGTTGATTGATTCCGTTGCCTGAAAGCCAGCTGTTGATCATGTCTCTTCAGAAACTTGCTCCAAGGAAACCCCGAACCTGAACCCAATCCACCTACAAATGTCTTGAAATCAACACGTGTCATGTGCTCTTGCCTGGACTCACCACTCACACAAAACACACACGCCCAGGCATTTGCCATGGGTTTCCTCAAGTATGCTTCAAGTGCTCAAACCTTGGCACAACCCTACACCAAACATAATATGTTCAGAATATGTTGTGAATCTAGTCTGCCCTTGAAGTAAGACAAAAACAATCCGCTCTGGAGGAGACCCCCGACAGGCTTTTTCCTGCATAGCAACAGTCACTTTCCACAAAACATCAAGTACCCACCAAAAACAGGCAATGTACGCAATATCTGTGTGTGTGTGTCACATAGGGGAACCTCCAAGAAGGCGCCATGTTTTTGCTTCCCGTTGGTTTTTTTTCTTTCAGACGCGACCGACGGGCCCCGAAAAATTTCGGGGCTCGTGCCTCGGTGTCCACGGATCGGTGCCTAGACCGAGTGCCTGTGCTGCAGCTCCTGCGATGTCGCTGGGGTTGGCTTACATTTTTGTCCGCATTTTTGGGTTTCAAAGAACGCGCCAGAAGGTAAACCCGCAACTTGAAGCAAATCTTTGGCCTTGTTGTGGGTACCTGGACCCTCAAACTACCCTTAAAATGGAAAGCCACCCAATAATTTTGGGGCAATACCCAAAAACCTGCGTTTTGAAAGCCATTTTGGGAGGTCGTCTAAAAAAGAACGCAGCCATATGTGGGCACATCATTCAGGTTGGGGTTTATGTTTTCAGGGTGTCCCCAATTAAAACTCCTAGACATGTGCCACCTTCCAGTGGCAAGTGGGCCCCAAAAAAGTCAAGTGGGCCCCCAAAAAGTCGAACTTTTATTCCAAAATGGTGCAAAACCAAAAGTCTGAAGTCCGAAAACTCAGGAGTGTACACAACCATTTCAAACACAGGGGGGGATTCCTGTGTTGTTGGAGGCTCGATTGCCAAGCACATGTCGCCTTGAAGCAACACGCTCATTTGAAAAAGGGGGCAAATGGTGACGTTTCAAACCACCTGTCAAGGGAGAAGCAGTCAGTGACCACGAGAAGAACAATACTAAGAACAAGCAACCCAAGGGACCTTGGTTTTTCTTACAGAACCTTGACATATCCTTATACTCACAAGGGTGTTTCTCCAATAGGGGTACCCCCAAAACGGCCACGGTTTTCTGTTGGATTCCCTTCAAATATCAACCCAAAGGGGCCTGAATCCCATTTTGTGAGAATCCCTCCGCGCAATCGAAACCCGCGGAAGCCGCCGTCCGAGAGCAAGCGGTCCATGGGCTCCAGACCTGGCGAGCTGGGCCCAGCTTGACACCCGAAAGCCCCAAGAGTCTGAGTCTCTCGGGGTTCCATGAGGACGGATGCACTGAATCTTTAGCCATCCGGGATTCTGGAATAAGGAATGCCCTAGCTCTAAGGTGTTTCACTAGGGAATGACCACTGCCTACTGGCGATTCGGCAGGTGTGCGGGGCCGACAATGCCTCGTGCCGCTGTGCAGCCGGAAAAGGAGTATGCGTGTCGCCCTGGCAATCAAACTCAAAACATCCCAAGTGGAAATCAAAGAATTCCCCTTTGGGATGTTCAGGGATATTCCCTCGTTTAACCCGAGCACTTGCGGTTGGAGGGTTGCAATTACCCACTTCGAGGGAACCACTTTCCCTTTCTCCCCCCAACTCCAGGATGTAGGTGGGGATTTGAAGGTTTGGATGTAAAGTCGGAACGACCCTCCCGATTTGGAGGATCGAAGAAAAATCAACAGTGAGCCATTGTTTTGCTTCAGGAGGCGGCGTTTTAAGGAAGGTGGTTCTAAATCATAGGGGACCGCACAAACTTGGGTGGTTTCCTCTCGGTTTGCCCCTGAGCATGTCGCATATTCGCACGTGAAAGCTGAGAGATCCAAAGAGCCTTCAATAATTTGGAATCAAGAATACGTTCAGATTCTGTTCCATATGTAGTCACCCTACACAAAAATAGCTTTGGAGAAGCATGCAGTTTTAATCGCACCCCCTCCCCAAAACAAGGAAAGAGGAAATAGGCGGCAGTTCTCGTTGTTTCTTGTTGGTTTCTTGCAAACAAAAAACATATGGTGCCCCTGTCCCCTCTTTGTTTATTCTATTTGAGCAGCGCCCCAAAACCCATTGACTTCTGGTTCTACCAAGATGGCTATAAAGGGTTGCATAGGTTCAGAAAGGCCTTCCTACAAACCCTAGGAAGCCAGAAGGAACCGAACCTACACAATCAGTATAGATCCCAATTAAACCGGGCAGAAATGAGTAGCTCAAAACGGCCATACGACTCGGTCCGTTTTGGGCGTGGCCCGGCCTCCCAGGAGCAGTTCACCGAGCAGCCGCCCGGGGCGTTGCAGGGGGCGGTCTCCGTGGGAAAGCCGATGCAATCCTGGCAATCGAAGGGGGACCGATTTTGAGCCTGGTTGAAATCACCACATGTTGGGTAGACCCCTTGTTGCTGGTTGAGTGGATTGGCTTCTAGCAAAACTGAAGGACAAACACTGCATTTTAGGGATGCCCTGTTTTGAGACACGCCCAGTGTTGAGGTTTGGGTGGCTTCGGACTTCCAACCTCAGCCTCTTGGAATTGTTGCCGCTGTGGGTGGGCACAGGGTGAACCAAAAGGATTCCAACCAATGTCAGAGGTCTGCTCAAGTGTCAGCTTCCCTTGAATTGGCAAGACGAACAGCCACATTTGCTTGGCCAAACCACGCATTGTCAGGTCCCCTAAAGATGGTCACTTCAGAAAATCCTTGAAAGATAGGTACACAATGAATTCTACATCCTCCAAACAAGCCAGGCATTACTGAAGGGAAGATCACCAAAACAAGCATGGCCGCATCCTCCCCAGCTGTGGCGAATCGGTCACGACGCTTTTCCCCAATGGTATCCACTCGTTTGATTGCGACCATTCACATTGATGGGCGGGTGCTGATTGACTGCCAATTGGTAGCTTTTCCCGCTGCACGCTGAAAAAAGCATCAAACACAAATATCGCAAAGGCTACACTATCCCTCTTTGCGGAAACCAGAAAGATCCCCGAATCACAAAAAGTCCCATGATCGGAAAACAAAACACACACACACACACACAAGATCCCACAAAGAACACGAAACACACCCCATCCCGATTTTCGCCCGCTCGATCCGGCCGCTCCCTCGACGTCGGCGATTGCTCGCCTCTCCGGCGTTGTAGGGCCCGGACTTGGTGCGGAGCCGCGTCTTTGTCCTGGGAAAACGGGGCCAGGGCAAACGGCCAGGGCTCCAGTCTCGGACTCCCAATATGGGTGTGTCTTGTTTTGAGGGTATCCTTTTTGTAAAGGTCTTAAAGGAAAACCAAACGCAAAACCACCATTTTACTTTGTATTTATGTTCCTTCTTTTTTTTTGGGAGAGGGGGGGTTCACGCCAAAAAGACACCTCCATATACCTGCACCCTCAAACGACCCTGAAAAATGAGATGTGTCCTAGTTTTAAGGGGAGTTTCAGGGTCCAGGTAGACTAACCCCCGGTCGTTGATTAGCCCAAAAGGGGAACCCCCGGGTTTCAGTCCGTGGCCAACAAATGGCTTGGCACCTCCTCAGGATGGCGGTAAACGGGCTCTTTGGTACCTTGTCAGGAGGTTTCTTAGGTCAACCTTGAAGTTTAGGCTTCACCCTCCTAGGAATTATTGTCTTGTCTGTTAGGGTGTGATGTTACCCGCTGACTAAACCAGGAGGAAAACCATGCTTGTCAAAATATGCTAAACAAGGGGGAATCTGGAGTAGGGGGACTTTTACATGGGCAGGCAGTCATCCACGTTTACGGCTTAAATTTGCGGAAACACCGCACCCGTAACAGGGGTTATGGCAGATGCCCTTAATATGAATCAAGTGTGATTTCATTTTGGTCGGCTCACTTGCAAGATTTCAAGAATCAATTATGCCTGGGTATGCTACCTATTTGGGCAAGCATGATCCAAGGTTGTTTGCTGTCCTGTGAATTGTAATCACGGGAGTTAGCAAGGTCCGTATCCGACAGCTTCTGGTATGAACTCTTGTAGGCCAGGATGATTTGAAATTCAAGGATTTGCTATTGTTGTCTACCAACTAAATTTTGTACTGTCCCACCCCTGACCACCATCGATACTCTTAGTTGAAAAATCCATCATCCACCGAGCGCGCAACCCTAGCGCAAGTATCTATTCGACCGCGCTTCCAACCAAACAAGGATAACCAAAAGTGAGTGGGATTGGGGTCTGTTGCTTTTCCTTCATTAGCCAAATTCCCCTTCTGACTCAATAAAAGCAGCAACACCCCCCCGTCCTACCTGGACCCTCAAATTACCCTTATAATTGGGCAACCACCCGGGCACTTTAGTTTGAGGGTCCAGGTGTATTTGGATCTTTTGGGTCTCCCAGACCGCCCGGCGAGATTTCGATTTGAGTTTCCCGGCCCGGCCACGCTGCTGCCACAGGCTTCCGAACAGCTTGACCAGCGGCCCCAGTCGTTCCTCGGGTCAAGAAACTGGATGTTGCCATCCGAAACACTCCAAGAAGACAAATTACACTGGGGGGGGGCGGTGTAAAGCAGAGTTGATCACCCTAGGTGAAACAGTTTGGGCTCAAAATAAAGGAACTCCACAGGACTACTCATTCCAGGTGTTCCATGCATCGGATAAGTTCAACCCCGGCTTGTCTCAAAAAGGTGGAACCCCCGAAATAAGTCGTTCTCCTTCGGCTTTACGACACCAAACACATACATCTATTCACTGAACTCCTTTGAGTGCGGCTCCCCACTACGCCCACTACGCCTGGCCACCCCAAGGCTTTCCATGTTTCTATCTTTCGAGTTGCTGGTAACAGGGAAAAGCCAGGCCCGCAAAAATGTAGACCCCTAAGCTCCCAATGGGTTTTGGGCCCAAGGCTTTTGAAGGGTTCTCGGGATCACGGGCCTCCCAACTATATATCCCTTGGAACATGGGATGATTGAGGTGATTTCCCACAACAAATGGGTCCGTCTTTGGTAGGGCCCCCACAATGGTGGTTTTCCCTTTGGTTTCCCTTTCAAACCAACCAAGAAAGCGAAGAGACACACCCATATGCAGAATCCAGAAATCTGAACCTGGAATTCAGAGGGCCCCTTAGCTTCCCGTTGTGGCGAAGTTCGGGGATTTAGACGGTGGCTTTCCTTTTGGTGTCCCTTTGAAACCGCCTTAAGGGTACCAAGCCTCAAGATGGTGAATCCGCGACGTGGGTGGTCTTCCCTTTTGGTTTGCCTTTACCTACAACGGCCCCAAAAAGAAACCGAGCCTTAAACAGACACGCACCATGCCGGCCCAAAGTGCAAGTCTCTAAAAGCAAGCAAGGCCATCACAGCCCCGACAAATGTAAATCGCCAACGGTGTAATGAGCACCGGTTGACAAGGTAGTGTACATGAATCTGGGTGAAATATATCCTACCAACCGGAAATACGAAACGGACCCGAAACGGACCCCCCAAAGACACGCGCCTTGCAAAGGGGGGCGCACACCGGTCGCAAATGGTTTCGCTTCAAGGAACCCCTGCAAACCTGGAGGAAGCCCAGTGAAGCCAATCCGTCACTCCACCTGGGCTCTGGACCAAATGCAGTCTTCCGGGCACGGCCTTGGACATCCCCCAAAGCCGTGGCTGATCGGTTTGTTCGGGTAGGAACCAAACCCATGTTCCAGCATCTGTGGTTTGGTCATCTTTTTAGAGGCTTAGACCGGAATCCAGCCATTTTGGGACAAGCCCGGAATATTACCCCTGACATGCATGCCTGCGGCCAGGCTACACCCTGATAGCGAGATGTCCAGGGGCAGTTGAGGTTTGTCAGAACCCTCGACTGCAGGGGTTGGAGTGATATGCAAATCTGACGCGCAGGTGATGCTGTTTTGAATCTGATCCCGCGTCATTGCCCAGGCTAAGATTGAAGTCCGCCCCACAGACTTCACTCCGTCCAATCTTCGGATTGAACTCCCCATCGACTGGTCGACAACTCGTCGACTGGTCAACCAGACACAAAATACTCAGATTCTCGCGGCGTCTCGTGGCGCCTCGAATGGATCCATTCGAGTCTCGCCACTGAAACCCCATGGCCTCAGAAGTCCGCATCCAAAGAGAAGGCGTTCAGGGGGCCGCCTTCGCCCCCCATGACCCCAGCCTTCCTGAGCTGCGAAGTCACCGGAAAGCAGCTCTTCGTTTTTGTTGGGCCTGCAAAAATGATGAAGACATCGACCAACATATGCTCAAAGTGTGAAGTGATGCTGTGACGCTTCCATCAGTTTCCCTTCCACATTTCAAAGCACCCCAAAAAGAAAACATAGTGAACAGGCCCACTATAGCGGTTTGTCTGGGGTTCCCTGGATGCTAAGCCCTCCCTGATCAAGGTCAGAGTCTGCACACGTGGATCCCCCCCTGGAAATACCTTATCATTTCTAGAAAAACCTGATGGCTGGTACATCGAAACCTCCGGTTGCTTGCCCGCTCGAAGCTTAAAAATGGATAAGCCAGTCGAAGCGTCTGATACTCCCCAACCCGCTTCTCGAAGAAGTTGGTCTTGCCCTGCAGCGAAATCAGCTCCATCCAGTCGAAGGGGTTCGAGGCACCGAAGAGCTTGCTGTGGCCTCGAGCTCGTCTCAACGACTCCAATCGAAACACGCCACTCCCTGATCCATTCACCTGTATATATAGGCAACCAAGGGAACCACCCCTAAAAAAACACAAACAGAGTGGGCATTTATTTGAGTTGCTGAACATGGCTCTTCACTCCCTTTTGGTTGGAATTTGAAGGGAAGCCCAAAAAGAAACCAACTGTTGTAGAGAAACGCTCAATTCTCGAGTGCCCAGCCAAACAAAAGCCTTGTGGTTCGATCCGGCGGATGCCTGCCGTTCATTGCAACTAAACGAGCCATGCAAGAAAAAAACCGTAGTAAAACACGGCAAGTTGAAGGCAACATGGCTTGCTATAACCGCATGAAACCAGGTAGTAGAACCACCTTCTTAACTGACCAATTGGGGGTATGAGTGATGTTCACTTGCAGACCCCACCATGGGTGGACCCCGAAGACAGGGTACCTTTCAAAAACACACCCTTGCGTTCAATCGGTGCCCCTTTGCCGGCTTGCTTTGCAAAGGCCATACACGGTCCAACGTTAAAAAAAAAAATGTGAACCCCTTGCCTCAACTTCCCTCTTGTCGCGGGTGATTTTGATTGGCAGTTTGGAGGTTGGGGGGGTTCTCATGTACTCTACAAGAACTAGGGAATCAAATCCTCAAACCAATCCAAACCAGCAACAAAGGGTTCCCCGATTGCCTGACCACAGCGGTGTTCCTTTGCAGAAAGGCTCCACCTCGGCAATGGGGACGCGTTGGGGGGTCAGTATTTGAAAGGGCACAAATGAGATTGCGATTTGGGGTGTCCAAGATGTGGGATCCCCTTTGAAGGCACTTCCATGGAACAAAAACAGAACAGGAAGCCAAGCAATTGAAGGGAACCCTCCAAAACACACGAATTGGGCGGGTTCCTGGCTTTTATGGAAAAAAAAGGTGAGCCCCCACGTCCTCCCAAACTAACAAAAGACTAGAGTACATTCGCTTTTTGTGAGTTGCTCATATGGACACACTCGAGTCAGTTCACAACATGGTCCTAATGTGGTCTACCACAAACCCATGTAAAGAATTTCAAGGGCGAATATCCAGACCTTCTGGTTAGGACTGTCCCTAAACCCGTCCGGATTTTTGAATGGCTCAACCCCACGAGTCCCTCAGCCCCGCAGTAGAAATACTTACAAAAATCGCCCCATGCTCTTTTGTGGGGGAGGTTGGGCGCTCACTTGGACACGCTTTGGAAGACATCCCCAGACCCCCGGGTAAAGTGCCATGTTCACCCTTTACCTTGTGTACGCTTTACGGCTTGGGGTCTGCCGCCCTCAAGCCCCCCTTTTAAGGGGGTATTGAAAGTGCTGGGTTGCAATCACCCATGTTTCTGGGTCGTTTGAGTTTGACAGGCCACCCAGGGCAGTGAGCAGCCGATCCGCCACAAACTCGATGTACTGGGTCATGAGCTCCTGAACGGGACTGGGGGTTGTGCGTGTTTCAGGGCACACCCCAGAGGGGGTGGGCCCAAGGAAAAACCAAACGGACACCATGCATTGTAAAAGCACACCACATTTTGACACAAGCCCACAAGGAAACTCCTGGAAACCTGAGCTCCCAGGCTGAGTAAAAAGGAAATATACCAAATGCCCATTGGCTTGACATGTCTTCAAGATTTCAAGATTGACAACGTATGAGCTTGCTCCGCGCATGTTCTCTTCGCGGTTGCGCAACTACGGGCAACAGTTTGGTTCAGCAAGAACGCCTCTAAGGTTTCCGGCCGTCTTGTCTCGCCCAAAACCTGGGCCAAAGCCAACCTGCTTAAACATCGGGCTACCTGCTGTTTCAACAGCCTCCGTATGGCATCCACGCAAAGTGGAAAAAAGTGGTTGTTTGACTTGATTCGCCGATTCCTTGCTGATAGTGATCCAAAGTTCTATTGGGATATGATCCAGGATATGTCACAAACGGGTCCGTCTAACACTCAAAGTAGAAAAGTGTGGCCGGGAGCCGAAAGCCGGGCTCCTTGTTCATGCCGATTAAATCGCAGCTCAGGGCCCCGCAAATGAAGTTCCTCTCCACCTGGAAAGGCGCAAAAACGGGCGGATGCTCGGGATCAAGACTCAAAGATCCGCTGAGAAAGAACGGCCACCTGTTGAATGGGTTCTAAGCCAATGGCTCCACATCGCAGGCGATCGGAACCCACTTTTTTGTTGGAGCCCGTTTAGGGTTGCATGATTAAACACCAGTTTAAGGAAGGCTCCATGGTGATCATTGAATCCACGCTTTGACGGATGCACTGCTAAGTTGTGAAGTTATGAGCATCAAGCTGAAAAGCCCAAAGCTTTGAGGCACAGAACAGTTCACAGTTTCGTACAGCTCTGCAAAGTGTCCCACGGAACCCAAGAGGATCACCGTTCCTCTAAAGATGAAGGGTGGTTAGGGGATATTGTTGAGGGTGGGGATGACCAATTTCCGATTTCCTCCCACCTCAACGGCGCCCCTCACGATCTCATGCACAATGTCTTCCGGCAGCTGGTGCTGCAGCATGCCTCGACTTCACTGGCCGAAGAGTTGCTGAATCTCTCCGACGGTTGACTCACATGCTTGTTGAGGGTGCGCTTTTCTGGCTTGTTCAACGGGAAACCAACATGAAGTCACCACACACGCCCACATTCAGCTTCAAGCCCCCAAAACCTATCGTTCAACGTTCAAACGATTTAGCCCGGACTCAACCTCGCCAACCCAGGCCTTCAAAGACAGTGCGAATTCCAACCACTTATGTGATACCATCGGAAGGCATTCAGCTCTCGTGGGGGGATGGTTCTCTGGTACCACACTGTGTTCGAACAATCCAATGTCGTTCTCACAAGCCCGCTCAAACGGGTTCAAATTGCAACACCCCTTTCTTTCCTCAAATTAATGATCTCGCTTGGGGTACC